TGAGATCTACTATTACAAGAAAGAATGCACTGTGCTAAGTACTAAAAAAATTATTATTTAAATTATTATCATTATAATGATTATTCTATTCTTCAGTGACCCAATAGATTGATATTATTATTATTAGTCCTTCAACAAATTTTAACTATAAAAATAGCAATAAAAACATTGACAACAATTATTATCTTACTGTATCACCATACAGTACATACTGTAATGTACATCATCTCTATCTTGATAGTTCTCTGTGGTAGCATAAATATAAAGCTTTACAATCATGTAACAATGTCTTATCAATGCCACTGAAATCCTGCTTGTGTTTCTTGGTAAATAACCTATTCTTTCACCGTGGCTACTCAGTTCTCACTAAAAATTAAACCACACCCTTTGAAACACTTGCAAAAAATATATTATTACTTTTGAAACATAGCATCTAGAAAAATGAAACCATAAACAGTCTATATAAGAGGCCTTAATGAATACACTCAAAGTAGTAACTTGTTCATACCTGGTGCAGAAGTCTCAAAAAGGTGGTTACAAAATTAATATAAAAAAACTAGTTTTTGGCTATTATCTCAGTCATTTCTCATTACATTGACACGAGAATAGTTTCAGTCCATGTAACAAACAATACACTATTATGATTCCAAGACTTACTAGCTAACTCCGTTCGAGAGTCTAGAAAAGGTGGTTACAAATAAAAATGGAGGTTTTCTAATTTTGTAATGTAAACATGAGGCCTGTTGACTAAATGAAATGAGAATGAATTTCATTTCATTAGGTCTACTGAACAAAACAAAAACACCTATATACCTTCTTTCACAAAAATAAGTTACTCAAGAAAACTCTTGAAAACATAGACAGAGAGAAAAGCGCCAAGGATAGAGCTACGCTGATTATGACGTTTACAGGTAAACTTCAAAGAGTTAATTGGACACCGACTTCCTGTTTCATATCCATGTGTGTATGTAGTATCTATGGTGACATCACAGACTTGGGAATTTTGTTACAAACGGCGTGCCATAGCCTCGCCCAGCTTTGCGTAGGCGAGGACTAGGTACTCGGTTTGTCTGTCTGTGTTTCATTCATTGCCCTCGCCCACGCCGTAGGCGTATAGGCGAGGGTACTGCGCTCGTGCTGTCAGTGTGTGTGTTTGTGTGTTAGCAAAATTTTCAATCATGGATGATTTTTTGGCTGATGCTACTTTTTATTCAAGCTCTTCAGAGCATTTTTTGCCAATTAGGTACAGAAAAGTTGTTCTTTTTCAATAATAAACTCTTTTGTTCTTTTCCAAGGTGGCAAAAGTCTGCAGCGTTTAAGAACAGAAAAAGTTTACGAGTAACTTTTGCATAGTTGATGCTATGGTACCTTTGAAGGCAACAACAGGTAAAGGAAATCATGGAGAACAAAAAGTATGTGTGGAATTGCTTGACTTTCCTTCGTTTGTGAGATATGACAGCTTAAGTGTGACTTACCAGCCATTTTGTAGCGTAGCGGCTCCTCTCTGAGAGGGTGGCTACAGCCTCGAAACTGAAGAAACAGGATATAGGAATTGCATGAAACAAGTAGAGCCTAACAAATCTGTGTAAAACTGTGTGCATGCCTAGAAAAACTAAAGCTTTCTGTCCACAGTAAGGCCACATGGCACCATTTTACTAAACTGGGTGGTGCATATTTTGATTGAGCTGAGCCACACCATAGATATTAGAGTACACAGGGATTGGAAACGGGGGCGTAGGCTGGTTGATGTTGCTATTGGTTACCGGCCCAATACCTGGTTGATTTCCCATCTCCTCCATTAGTGAGGCTGTACTGCAAGGACTTCGAAGGATATTTATGGAGATCCAAGAGGACGCTTACTTATGATATACCTACCGTTCGATATAGAAAGTGTTGGACTACCTGCAGCAAGGTTTTTACTTCTATACTATATCCCAACTGAGTTTGACCCAAGAAAAACTGGAATAACTTTTTATAGGAATGTGAGATAAGGCACAGGTTCTTAGTCGCCCAATGCCATCACAGGATCTCAGGTCTTGGGTCTCTCAGCCCTTGGGAACC